CCTGAGGAGATAGTAGGTCGCTCACCCTCATCTTTATCTGAGTATAGAAGGACTTAAGCCAATGAGACACAAATCAATCTTAGATTTTTTAAAAAAAGTTTAAATCGAGGTATATAGCCAAAAAAAAAAAAATTCAAAGGAGCATTGGTACAGTTTGGATATGGCTTGGCTCCCAAAGGTGCGGGAAGCTTGGTCTTCAGTGTGCTGATGTTGGGAGGTGGTGGAACCTTTAAGAGGTAGGGGCTGATTAGGTATTTAGGGCAGATTAATGCTTTTCTACGAGAGCACATTCTCACTTTGGGGGAACTTCCTGTGAATTACAAAATAGCAAGCCTGACTCTGTCAGGTCTCTTTCTTCTTGTCTTGCTATGTGATTCCTTGTGTACATGGTTATTTCCCTTCCTGCTTCTCTACCATGTCATGATGCACCCAAGGGGCCCTTGCTAGAAGACCAGTGCCATGCTCTTTGAATCTTCCAGCCATGAGAATTATATGCCAAATAAACCTCTGTCCTTTGTTATGCAACACAAAATGGATTAAGTGTCTCAATGAGATGGGGGGAGGGAGGGAGGGGGGGAGGAGAGAGAGAGAGAGAGAGAGAGAGAGACAAGGGTCTCACTACCTACCCAAGCTGTCCCCAAACTCCTGGGATCAAGTGATCTTTCCACTTTGGCCTGTTGAGTAGCTGGGACGAAGGCATGCACCACACTTGCCTATGCCTCATAGAGGCTAGTTGACTATCCCACATTCCTTGAGCAGTGGGGCCCTGTTCTATCTATGAATTCAGAATTCAGAAATGAAGCATCACTCAGACTCTTGTCATCACATGTCTTTCTCTCACCATACCTAGAAAGCTTCTCTGATTTCAGGGACTCTTGTGATTATATTGGGCTCACTTGGATAATCCAGGACTTCCCTCCCCCTTCTCAAAGTCTTTACCTTTTTCCAGGTTCTAGGTATTAGGACGCAGATATTTGGGAGATCCACTACTCTGCCTTCTATGGATGGTAACTGTTTTTAGCTAATCCTCTTGTTTAAGCTTTCCTGGAGTTGGTGACCTGCAATCTCCTTAAGAGGCAGGCTTTTCAAGTTAATGTGCTTGTTCCTCTCCTTTTTAAGAAAGAGTGAAAGCAACTTTGTTCTTACAACAGTGGCAAAATATGAAAGGGCATGAGTGGACATGAGTAGCACAGGGGATTGCACTAGACATAAATCTTACAAACCTTCCCAAATTCCCTCAACTCTCTTATTTCCCCTGGTCAGCAGCCTGCCCACACTGAGTCGTCTTTCTGCTTCTGGATTTGATGCCACACCATTCCATGGGAATTTTCCTGCCTGGGTATTGCAAGGTGGTAAGTTATACAACTGGGAAATATGGGAGAGTTTACTTTGCCAATCCTGACTACTGAGAAGTGAGAGATGAGAGAGAGCTGAGAAGATAAGGTCCCTCTCTCCATTTGCTCCTTTGGAACATCCCTAGGCGTGTCCCCTCTGGAAAAAGACTGCCAAGCAAGCAACCTTGATGAGCAGCCTGCTGTGGATAATTGGATCAGGGGCCAGTGCAGAAAGGCATCACATTACTTTGCATTTTTCCTCAACTCCTTTCTATTTTTTCCTCTCATCCTTCCCTCCATAGGTTTTTAATCACCTGAATAAAGTGTTAGCATGTTAATCACCTGGATAAAGTATTAGCAATTTAATTCACATATTCATCTATCCATTTTACTATAAGCTACAATCTGGTTTTCTTCTATCCATCCATTCATCCATCCATCCTTCCCTCCTTCCATCCATCCATTCACTCCACCCACATATCTATGCATCTGTCCTTTCCTCCCTCCCTATTTATTGAGCACCTTCTCTGTTTCAGTCATCTTTCTAGGTTTTGAGAACACAGCAGTAGAGAGACAGATAATGATTTGGGTTTCCATGGAGCTCACTGTTTAGCAGGGAAGACATAAAGGACATGTCTAAAAGAGAAGTGCAGGATAGAAGGAAAGAATTTGTTTTAGGAGTTTTTGGTGCCAAGAAACAAATTGTCTCCTATGACAGCAACTATACTAATGAAAGTAGGGAAGAGATTTTGAGATCCCTGTCTTAAAAGACTGCCAGGCCTCATGGGAATTCAGGTAAAAATGTACAACTCAGGGCTGGGGATTTAGCTCAGTGGTTCCGGTGCCTACCTTGCAAGCGCAAGGTCCTGAGTTTGATCCTCGGTACCAAAAAAAGAAAAAAAAGTATAACTCAGTATTACTTGGTGTATCAAAACTGGATCCTGCCGGGTTTCTTTTTTTCTTTTTTGGTAGCGGGGATCAAACTCAGGACCTCGCACTTGCGAGGCAGGCGTGGTGCCACTGAGCTAAATCCCCAGCCCCCTGACAGTTTTTTAAATGACATTATAGGTAGAAACTGCAAAGTTTTTCAGATCCAGCACAGCAACATCACCTCTACCATTTCATGAATAAGCTACTCTAACAGTCCCCAAAATAAATGGGGCTTAAACATGTTAGAAATTTCTTTCTTGTGCTTTACTCCATAGATAAGGGTTGGTTTAGGATTAGGCCCCCCTGCTCCATGAGTAAGGACCCAGGTTCTTTCTGTGTTGTTGCTCTGCCATTCCCTGGACAGGCACTGCTTCCATCTGCATGGTACTAGCTCACTAGCACTGAAACAGCATCAGAACCTGTGCAAAGAAGGGAAGGAGCAATTGAGCTGCCGAGTTGAAGTAGCACACTTTACTTCCACATGCATTCTATTGGCAAGAACCTAGTCACGTGACCACTCCCAGTACCAAGGAAGAAGGGAAATGTTGTTTCTTGCTGAGCTAAAACTCCTTGGGGTGGGAGTTACTCTACTAAAAGGAAGAAAGGAAAATAGATACTGAGTATGGTTGTTAGGCCCTGCAAACAAAAATATAGGACATTCAGTTAACTTTCAATTTCAGATAAGTAGGGAATAATTTTTTTAGTACAATGATGACCCCTTTGAACATAGTCATTATTTATCTGAAAAAATTTGTTCCAGGGCCGGGGATTTAGCTCAGTGGTTCTGGCACCTGCCTCGCAAGCGCAGTCCTGAGTTTGATCCCCAGTACCAAAACAAAGAAACAAAAAAATTTGTTCCTTGTTTTTCTGAAAGTTCACTGAGAGTCCTAGAACAAAATAATGTTAGAAGCAGTGTTCAGAAGAGAAATTTCTTAAGCTGCAACTGAAGTCTCAGAATTTTGCCTAGTTTTTTTCTTTTCTAAATTTTCTAAATTTTAAATGTTTGACTCCTCCATTGGTTCATAAAATACGTCTTGCATCCTGTCATTAACTTCTTCTTTGTCCTCTCCCTTTAAAAAAATCTCATGTTAGCTATAGGACATTTCTGTTGTTTGCATTCAAAAGTTTGCAAATAGGGCCAGGGATTTATCTCAGTGGTCCCGGCACCTGCCTTGCAAGTGGAAGGACCTGAGTTCGATCCCCGGTACCAAAAAAAAAAAAAAAAAAAAGTTTGCAAATAAAACAATGCATAAGTCAATTTTAACCTTGAAAGAGGCATAAATGACAGCAACTCTTTGGAAAATATTTGTCATGTCTTCTGAGGCATCTATAAAAGCCATTACTTTTGTCAGCAAAAGAACTGAATGTGTCACCATGGTTTGTGTTTTACTGTAATTGTTGTTTTTTGAAGAAACTATCAAGGCCTGTGTGGTAAATAAGTAAGGAGTATAGATTTATGCTAATAGATATCGCTTCAGTATTAGAAAGGGAGACTCCACTATTGGGCTGGTCAAGAAAAAAATAAGCAATGGAGGTTTATTTTCCTCATCTTTTTCCCAGTATGATAAAAGAGAGAAGAAAGCACTAAAAGCAATGGGCAATAAGAAAGAAGAAACAGACCAGGCATCGTATAAATGGGATAATCAGATTGAGATGTAGAAGCACCAAAAATGAGAAAATGCTAAAGAGCTACTCTAGGCAAAGGGATACTGAAGGAGAGGCCATCGTTGAATGATATCAGCCTTAGCGGAGAGATTTAAAAGATTAATCGGAGAGATTTCAATAAGTCAAGACATAGAAACCTACTGATTGGTACCTGAGAAGTATGATTCAGCGCAGTGAGTAAACAAGTGTGGTTATGGATCTTTATCTCTGGGGAGTTAAAAGAAAAGGGCAGATTTCTCTTATTCATCTGGGATTGACTAGGTGAGCTCATCAGATTTTTCAGAGTCCTATGAATCACCCTTGGGGTTTCTTAAGATTTTGCACTTCTAATCATTTAAACTGCTCTTTTAATGTGTTGTAACTAACACAGTGTTGCTCTGTGAGCTCCTTTCTCTTCTACTACCTTGCAACCACTGGAGGCAAGGGCTGCTGAAAACCATTGTAAATCCATTTCAGAAGTACAGACCACAAGCTTCTGGATGCCTCATGCCCTTCACAAAAAGCTATTAAAGAATCACAACACACTCAGAAGTGTGGCAGACCGAACAATCTGTCACCCAAAACTTGCTAATCATGCGGAACAGTAGCAATCAAATTCACGGCTACCTCTTGTGAAATAGAAACGTGACACTTCAGTGGTTGCCAGGTGGTGCTTAAATAAACTGGGACACTTCACCTTGAGAGCATTTGGAAAGTGCTGGGAAGCCAAAACAGAGAGAAATGATTCCAAAAGCTGTAGATTCTCCATACAAATAATTTATTCCTATGTTCTAAAATACCATAGCTGAATGCTATTGAACACTTGGATTATGGGCAGTGTGAATGAGGAACAGAAGGTGGGATATTATTTAAATTTTATAAATTTAAAATTTTTGGGGGGTACCAGAAATCAAACTCAGGACCTTGCGCTTGTGAAGTAGGTGTGTGCCACTGAGCTAAATCCCCGGCCCTTATACATATAATTTTTTAAAAATCAAGGTGAAATTCATGTAATGTAAAGTTAACCATTTTAAAATAGACAATTGGAGAGGCTATGGATGTAGCTCAGTGATAAGAGTGCTTGCCTAACATATACAAGGCACTGGGTTCCATCCCCAGTACAAACACACACACACACTATGGCATTTGGTATATTCATAATGTTGTACAACCACCACCTTAACTTAGTTTCCAAACATTTGTATTGCCCCAAAAGAAAACGCTATACCAATTAAACAGTTGCTCCCCATTCTCTTCTCCAAGCTTCTGACAACCGCCAAACTATGTTCCATGTCCAGGGATGGACCTATATTAGATATTTCAAAAAATGGAATAATACATTATGTGAAATTTTGTGTCTGTCTTTTACTTAACTTAATGCAATTAATTTCCTTTTTAAATTTAAAAACTTATTGGGAAATCCAAGTATGTTTGGGATACATAGATATATAAATCTACTTTTTTAATCTAGAAATTTCATGAAATCTAGATAGAGAGGAATTATTTTTCAACTTAAATCTAGTGTCCCAGCTAAGTGCAGTGATGCACACCTGTAATCCCAGCATGCAGGAGGATAAGGCAGGAGAATTGCTGTGAGTTGAAGGCCAGCTCAGGCTACATAGTGAGACCCTGTCTCAAAACAACAACAGAAACAAACAAACAGGCAAATTTAATGTTCCAATTGGGATATACTATAAGTGAAATTTAATTTAATTTAATTTTTGTGGTTCTGGAGATAGAGGTCCTTGTGCATGTTAGGCAAGCACTGTATGACTAAGCCACACTTCTAGCCCTGCTATAATTTTACATTGCAAAGACAGTGCAAAAAAAGAATGTAAAATATTTCAAATATTTTTATATTGACCACATGTTAAAATGAGTATAGTTTGGCTTTAATAAAATATATTAAAATTAATTTTACTTGTTTCTTTTTACTCTTTTCATTGTGGCTACTAGAAAATTGAAAATTATGGATATGGCTCATGTCTTTGTTGGATGGTGCTGGTCTAGTCAAAAGATCTAACTCAAACTGGACACTAATTTTAAAAGACTTCTTTGGGCACCTACTGTAAATTCTTGTTTTATTTTGCTATCACGAGGAAAGTTGGTTAGGAATAATGTTTTCCACATCTATGACCTTTCCTTTAACTTTAGCCAGGGGCAGAAATAGATTGCGGGTTAAGTTGTAGGAATTTGGTGTTTTCTTCCTCTCCTGCCAGCTTTTGATGCTTACACAGAGTTTTATGATAGAATCATTGAAAATAAATTTTTTGATGCCAGGCATTAAACTCGGGGCCTCCTGAAGCCACACCTTTGCCTCCTATTGAAATGTTTTAAATGAGGGAAGGTAAAGGCTATGTTCTGGCTTCCCTGCCTTTAAAATTATAACCTAGTAATATGCTATCAGTTTGGGATGAATTTATTAATATACTATCTGCCTTTTTGCCATTCGGAATGGAAAGATAAGCACTTGGTTGTATAGATTCATTCACCAACATATTGGGTAGATTCATTCACCAATATATTCATCCACCAACATGCTGGGATTTTAGGTACAATAAAAAAGTCCCTAGGGAAACAATTCCTTTCACAATAGCATCCAAAAAAAAGAAATATCTAGCAATCAGTCTAATGAAGGAAGCAAAAGACTTCTACACTGAAAGCAACAGCACTCTGAAAAAAGAGATCGAAGAGGATATAGGAAAATGGAAAGACATCCCTTGCTCCTGGGTAGGAAGAACCAATATAGTGAAAATGGCCATACTTCCAGAACTGCTATATAGATTTAATGCAATGCCAATTGAAATCCCAACAATATATTTCACAGAGCTAGAGAAAACAATCCAAAAATTCATTTGGAACCAGAAGAGACCTAGAATAGCAAAAGCAATTCTAGACAACAGAGACATGGCAGGGAGTATCACAATTTCCAACTTGAATCTATACTACAAAGCTACTTGATAAAAACAGCATGGTACTGGCAAAGAAACAGACCTGAGGATCAGTGGAATAGACTAGAAGATACAGAAACAACTCCAGACATACTCAGCTACCTCATCTTTGACAAAGGAGCCAACCATCCTCACTGGAGGAAAGATAGCCTCTTTAATAAATGGTGTTGGAAAAACTGGATTTCAACCTGCCAAAGATTAAAACTAGACCCATATCTGTCACCATGCACTAAACTAAGATTGAAGTGGATTAAAGATCTAAATATTAAAACAGAAACACTAAACTTTCTGGAAGATGAGTTAGGTAGAACTCTTGAAGACATTGGTGTAGGAAAAGACTTTATGAACAAAACCTCAGTTGCCCGTGAACTAGCACAAAGAATCAACAGCTGGGATCCCATCTTGTTAAAAAGCTTCTGCAGTGCAAGAGAAACCACCAACAGAGCTAAGAGACAACCTACAATGTGGGAAAAAAATTTTTTAGCAGCTGTTCTTCGGACAAAGGACTACTATCTAGAATATATAAAGAACCTAAAAAAAAATGAGACCCTCCAAATTTAAAGACCTAATCCAAAAATGAGCATCTGAAATGAACAGACATTTCTCAGACAAAGAAGTAAAAGCAGCAAATGAATATATGAAAAAATGTTCAACATCACTGGTCATTCGAGAGATGCAGATGAAAACAACACTGATATTCCACCTCACCCCAGAAAGAATGGCTGCTATCAAGAAATCAACCACAGGCCGGGGATTTTGCCGCCTGCTGCTCAAGCGAAAGGACCCGATTTCAATTCCTGGTACCAAAACAAAGAAACAAACAAACAAACAAAATCAACCAATAACAAATGCTGGCGGGGGTGTGGGGAGAAAGGAACCCTTCTTCATTGTTGGTGGGAGTGCAGACTGGTGCAACCAATGCGGAATCAGTATGGAGATACCTCAAAGAACTAGGACTAAAGGTCCCATTTGACCCAGCTATTCCCCTGCTGGGTATCTTCCCAAAAGAATTAAAAGAATCATACCACAGGGATATATGTGCACCCATGTTTATAGCGGCACAGTTTATAATAGCTAAAGCTTGGAAACAGCCCAAGTGCCCATCAACTGGAAACTGGATAAAGAAGATGTGTTTTTTTAATAAATGGAGTACTATTCAGCCATAAAGAATGAGAAACTAGAGACATTTATAGCTAAATGGATGCACATTGAGGCAATACTCTTAAGTGAAATAAATAGGACACGTGTAAATACCGAATAGTTTCTCTGGTGTGAGACACTGAAAGTGTAAAAAAAGATTAAAATGAATAATTGATAGTGTGAAATAGGAAGAAAAGGTCCAAAAGGGTAGGGGAAGTGGAAGGGGTAGGGGAAAGGAAAGAAGGGGATGGAAAAATAATGTGAAAAGGAAAAAATGGAAACAAAGTCTTTGTAAATAGGGAAGGGTGGAGGGGGTGAAGGGAGGGCAGAGAATGGGAAAAAAATAAGAACCAAGATGCATCATGTAAAGGTACAATTCCCAATGAGAAATGTAAATGTATTGTGTACCTAAAATGTACCAATAAAAGAATTTAAGGGGAAAAAAAAGTCCCTGCCTTATGGAACTTATGTTCTAGTGAAAAGAGACAGAAAATAAATTAATAAGATAACCACAGATTCTGATAAGCTCTATAAAATGGTGGTTTGATAAAGAGTAACTTTATCAAATAGGGGGGAGCAGGAGCCTCTACTTAGATAAGGTGGCTTGGCAGTTTCTCTGAAAAGATGACAATCAAGTTGGCAATTGAAGAACAAAGATTCAGTCAAACAAAAAAGAGCCATTGAAAGAAGAGGACTGTATAGAAAGCCCAACTTTGGCAAGGCTTTGAGGTGGGGAAGGAATGTGATGTTTTTGAAGAACATGAAGAAAGCTATATAGTTCCTATATAGCTATATAGCCAGTAAAAAATAAATATATATAGCTATATAGCCAGTAAATCATATTAAGAAATCTGAGTTATCCAGGCATGATGGAAGAGATCTGTAGTCCCAGCAATTTAATGACTTAGCAAGACCCTGGCTCAAAATAAAAAAATTAAAAAGGGCTGAGGATGTAGCTCAGTGTGAAAGCCCAGGGTTAAATTCCTAGTATCATTCACACACACACATGCACACAGACACACACACACACATGCATGCATGTGCAAATCCCATATACCAAGACACTTTGTTCATTTTGCATGGTTCTGTTTGAATGCTGGACCCACAGACTTCCCAGAAGATAACTCATCAAACAGGAAGACAAGTCAAGGTAGACAAGTTTGACTCAAAACAAGGTTTACTTCGCTAGAATTTGGATGGGTAATATTTGAGGACAATGGGGTATGTGTCATTCACATTCTCAGGACCAATTTTTATCAACTTACCATGCCTTAGTTTTATGTAGTTATGCTTATAAGTGAAAATGAAAGGGACTTTTAGGAGATTATTTAAGGAAAAGAGGGTTGTTTACTGAAAGCTCCTATTTGGTCCCCAAGCAATGTTATTCTAGCATCTTGTCAGCATAGGGGAACACAGTGTGGCTAGAAGATGATCCCTTCTACTGTATATCACCATTGAACATCAAATAGTTTGATACCTTGGGCTGGTTCATACCCAAGTATGAGGCAGCAGTGACTGGTAAGAAGGTGGTATTCAGTGGCACAAGGTAGAGATGTCCCTTGGATAAAGTGGCAGTCAACCAAGATTGTTGTAAACAGCAGAAACAGCACCATGCCTGTTTTATGTAAGGAAAAGAGGTGTAAATGTGGAAATCCTCACGAACATGGTAGCAGACTACAGTTATTTTTGAATAAGTGTGATCCCTTCCTGCTCATTCCCAGAAAATCTGACAGAGAATGAGTGAACTCTGTAAAAGCCTGGAATTCTATGATAAATAGGGCATAATGAGCTGTTTGGGGTGGAATTCCTGAAGAATCTTAGCTGAGACAAGAATTTTAAGTGCAGATAGTTTATTTGGGAGGTGAACCTAGGAAACAACAGTATGTGGAGAAGAAAAAGGAGACACAGAAAGCAAGACAGAAACTGAAGCATGTATTACTGTTGTTTACCACTAAGGCAAACTGGTGCTCAGTCTCAGTGGGCAGCTCTGGAAGTCTCTAAAGGTTTGGTCTTCAGCCTGTGATGCTGCTGAGAGGTGATAGAACCTTTAGGGAGAGGGGCCTAGTAGGAGAAGGTTAGGTCATTGGGAGTGAGTCCTTGAAGATGATATTAGGAACCTGGCCCCTTCCTGTCTCTCTCTTTACTTCCTGGCCACCTGAGGTAAACAAGTCTCTTTTAGCACATGCTTCCACCATGATGTACTGTGCCACCTCAGGCCCAAAGCAACAGGACCAAACAACAATGCACTGAAACCTCCGATACCATGAGTCAAAATAAACCTTTCCTTCTTTCCTTCTAAATATCTCAAGTATTTTGGCACGGTAACGGAAGGTTTACCAACTCAGGCGTTAATTCACCAACTCCCATGCAGCACTGGGTCGGGGCTCTTTCTAGGGACATGAACTCTTGGGGACTTTTGGGACACCTGGTCCTGCTAGCTGACCAAATGTGTTCATACAGCCTCATTCAGAGTCTCAGTGAGCATCATTTAGTGAACAGAGCTGAGTGTTGAGGACTCTGGGCAAGAACTCAATAGCACTTATTTCACCAGTGATTATCATAGACCATGAGGATAAAGGAGCTTATCATATCTGGCCCCATTTCAGTCCTCACTTTTAGTTTTTTCTTCTTCCTTCCTTCCTGCTCATAATTTATATTATTAAGCTGTTTTATGTATCTTTAAATAAGATACAAAAGCTGCCTTAAATCTTTTTTTGGAACACCAGAGGCTATAAATAAATAATAATAATAAGGTCTAATATTTTTCTTTTAGTTTTGACCTTTTTTTGTAGTCTGTGATATTCTTGGAACAGTTTTATTCACCTGTGCCTCGCACTGTGTTAAGCACATCAAATAAATTTGATTATTATTCCACAGAATGACCTGTAGAGGAAATATATACAGAAATATTTATAAACTGACTCTGTGACCAGATGCAGACATAGAACCACAGTTCTCTCTGGCTTCTGGCTTCTCGAACCCAGTGTGTAGAATAGTGCCTGGCACATAGTAGCCGCCCTGTAAATATGTGTCAAATGAATTTGTGAGATTTAGAGGAACTACATATCATGAGGCCTTCCAAATACCGTAAGTTAGAATTCACCAACATACTAGAATTATGTGTTTCATAAGGTCAAGGTTGCCCTTGAAATTACTATCATGTTGATGTACTTATTTTCATAAACATAAACTGGAAGGTAGGGACTAAATATAGTTTTTGAGATAGTATTTTAAAATGCATGCCCAGCAGGCTATGTGCATCTAAGAACACTCAATGGCAATTCAAATGCTGTCTGTTTGTGAGCCTAATCTTTGCTTGTTAGTGTTCTGGCAAACTGTTCCTTTCTTTTTTTTTTTTTTGGTAGCGGGGATTGAACTTGGGACCTTGTGCTTGTGAGGTAGGCGGCTGAACCACTGAGCTAAATCCCTGGCCCCAGGCAAACTGTTCTTAATAACACTCCTATTGAGAAAAGAATTAACAGCAATGTTGAAAACTGGGCTCCCCAGGAATCTCCATGCTAGAAATTGAGTGACTGCTTTATATCTCAAGAATCGGAGGAAATTGTTTAAGTGGCGGGTCATAGGCATGTAGGTATCTAGGGTTTTGTGCTGCGATATTTTTCCCTTAAGAGGCAAACACAATAATTTTATTTAATAAAACACTAACTAGAAACTAAAAATTATTCTGGCCTTAGACTAACTCTTGAGATTCAATAGATCAGCATTATCCAAAAGTAGATGCTTCCAGAAAGCTCCATGTTCATGTAGATCTTAGCAGAGGAGGAGAAAGATGGTTTAGCACTTCTGTTGTGTGTTTTAAATTCAGACAGCTTCCACATAATAGAAAATTTATCTTTTTTTTTTCAGTACCAGAGATCAAATTCAGGACCTTGTGCTTGCCAGGCAGGCATGGAGTTAATGAGATACATCCTGGCCCTGAAAAATTTATCTTTTAAAAGTATACAATCTAGAGGGGTTTTTCTTTTTTTATATTCGCCTTGTTGTATAACCATCACTACTATCTAATTCTAGAACATTTAAATCATCTTCCAAAAAACCCTGTGCCCATTAGCAATCATTTCCCAGTCTTCCCTCCTCTTATCTCCTGGCAACCACTAATTTACTTTTTGTCTATATGGATTTGTGTGTTCTGGACATTTCTCATAAATGAAATCATATCACACGTGACCTTTCATATCTTCTTCTTTCACTTGGCATATAGTTTCATTTTTCATCTATTGATATTTTCTTTTTGAACTGAAGAATATTCCATTGTATGAATATATCATATTTTATGTATAAGTTCATCAGATGATAGATATTTGGGTTGATTCTACTTTCTTGATGTACAGATAATGCTTCAATGGACATTGGAATACAGGTATCTGTTCAAGTCTCTGCTTTCAGTTCCTTTGGGTATATAATTAGGAGTGGAATTGCTGAGTGATGTGCTAACTCTATGTATAACTCTTTAAGGAACAACATGTTTTCCAAGGTGCTGGCACCATTTCTATTCTACCCAGCAATGTATGAAGGTTTTAGTTCCTCTACATCCATGTGTTTGTGTGTGTGTGTGGACACACACATGAATTATAACCATTCTGGGTGTGATGTGGTATCACATGGTGGGTTAAATGAAGGAGAAAAGGAGAGAATAGTGAGGGTCGAGTAAAGCTGGCAAAATGGCAGAAATCTTCTTATAATTTTTTGTAATTCTTATCCACAGTCCTCTAAGTTATCAATAAAGTCTGCTTAAATCCATGAAATCCTTGGGGAAATGCTGAAGAAGTAAGTTTTGTGCCCAAGTTGATGAGGTAGAACTGTTACTGTGGCTCAAGAGAGACGCACCAGATTCAGAGAACAACTGGCAGTCTTTGCCACAAACACACCATCATCCCAAGGGAATACAGGACCTTATGGGAGTTTGAAGTCATACTGGGTTTGTTCTGCACAATGACTTCATTATCTCAGACCTTGCCACCTTGGGAAGACCATTGGTTTTAGTGAGGAAAATTGTGGATAAAGTTGTATACTTGGATCCATCCCTGAATTAATCTTTGTATCTGTAAGGAAGGTACATGATTAAGAAACAAAATGGTTAGAATGTGGGGAGGGTGACCAATTCTCCCAAAGGACAGTAGAGGAGCAGAATAGATATGGCTGTCAGGGAGGAAAAGACACAGTCACTCCAATTTTTGTCTAATGTATTTAATGATTCAAAAAAAAAGATAAGGAGACTGTTGTCAATTGGATAGATCAAAAATCTTGGATTTTGAATGAGAAGATCACTAAAGGATTATAGTGTAGGGGATAGATGACCATGACCTCCAACAAGGCCTGTCTTCTGGAATTCATACCATTGTGTAATTCCCTTTTGTTGAGTGTGGGTAGGATAATGAACAGAATATGACAAAAGTACTGGAATGATGGGTTGTCACTCCTATGATCATGTTTCAGTGGGAGTACAGAGTGTTTTCCTAAGGGAAGTTTTGGTAGTCCCATTTTCATAAATTTACTTCTTTTGTTACATATACTTAGGGCAACTTAAGTTCTGGGTTATAATTCCTATTTAATATCTTGTCCTTGAGTTCTGTTCTGTGGGTGTTTCTTTTTCTCAAAAATATTCTTGTTTGGATGACACATTTTACAATTATCCTACCACTTTTTGAAGTGAATGATCCTTAATGAAATATAGGGAAACTTCCAGGAAGATGATGGAGTGGTGAGCAGCAGAGAAACAGCTTCTTTGAGATTTGGTGTCCAGACACTGGAATATAGCAACATGGGGAAGAGAAGAAGGAGGGAAGTAGGTCCTGAGACCCAGCAAGGCTTTGAAGTGAGAAATGAAGCCCACAGAGAGAGCAAGGAAAGAGACTTCAATGAAGAAGAAGGAGGTGGCAGGTGGCACTTTGTCCCTGAGCCCTGACTCCCTGCCTGGGAAGGACAGCTCAAACCTGCAGATTCATGAGACTACTGGCAACACCTGAGACCTCCACAGAGAAATTCACCAGAGGAACAGAGCAGTGGACACCGTGGACTGCATGGCTGGTGAGTTATTTGGGTTCAGATGTCTTTCAGGAGGGGGTGATTGGCTGGTAGCCATCTTAGAGAGGGCCCAATTGAGCTCAGAACTCAGAGTAGCTGCAGGCTGGCTCCATCAGGGTGAGGTGGAACCATATTCAAGTTGGCAGAAGGTCAAGGAGCCAAGTTCAAGCCTGCAGGGAGCTGACTTCAAGCCAGTAGGAGACACACAGAATGTTGCAGGGTGAACGGCAGCCTCACAGCCAGAAACCAGCCTGAGGTTCAGAACTAAAGGTGCAGGCTTGTGGAGATTATCTACTACTCCATTGTAAATCTAAGACTGGGTTGTTGGGATTAATCAACATGGATCTGGGCTCTGTGTGCCCAGCTTGTCTACGAATGACAGCAGAGACACACCTGGAAGTGGACTTTTTTTTCCTTTTCTTGTTTTTGTTTTCTTTTCTTTTTTTGATAGTTTGTTCTTATTTTTATATAAGTGTGAACATTGTTTCTAGTTTATTTGTTGTTGTTCTGTTTTTATTTTTCTTTCTTTCTTCTCTCTTTTCCTCCTGTCTTCTGGACCAGTTCCCCAAA